ACTAGTTAGACCTTTAATGTAACGGGGTCAGCGGCGCACAAGTAGCCGTAACGCACAAACCTACTCACATCTAAAGACATACATGCAGAAATACACCATCAGCTTTATGCTACCAGGGTACAGGATACAGTTGCATCAGATAAGAGCATAAAGTGGAAGTTTTGTAATGACAACCATGCAGACTAATGTTTGACTCACCATGCTGCAATATGTCTGATATGTTTTTCACCAATTCTGATCTTATAATGTACCTTCAAAATGTTCAAAGTGCTGGATTTTGTTGAACAATGTTCAATCTTTTTTTATTGTTTGGTTTGTTGGGGTTATAATCAATATTTTTATCTTAACAGTGGATCAAATGACTATGTGTATTGTGAAAGGTGTTACTCATTATTATTATTAGAATTGCCAATCGAGGCCCTTTGCTTCGTGTCATCCCCTCTCTCTCTGTCCCTCTTTCCTATTTATCTCAGGTTATGATGCGACTCGGAAGTGTCACTCAGCTCCACAGAGCGTTTTAACACCTTTCAGCTTATTGTTTTGGGTTTTTTACGGCTCATTAATGTATTGTTCGCCGTAAAAGCTCAATGTACACATCCTCAGCACCAGTATTCAGAATATACAGCAGTATATGTACGTTTTAAAATGAGGAAATACAGATTTTCCAGTTGCTAATAACAGTGACATCATAAAGACATGAAATATACTGAAATACTCCTTATTGTTAGCGCTTTCCACTTTTGTGCTAATCTCACATAACAGTCACGTCATTTGAATAATCTACTTCCTAATTCAAAGGTACATGCATCTCATGTTGTATTTAAAAGCCATAATATGTCTGTATGTTCTTTAAAGCATGAAGGCCAGAAAACATTTGAACTGTGGCTAATATTGAAAATAAATGATTTATGGACAAGTCCAGTGAAGAAAGTCATTGTCTGCTGCATCTGATGACTTGCTGGTTGAGTAGAGAGGAGCGTTCTTTCATACCAGAGGAATGCCGTTACTGACAAGTGCACAAGCAAGTATGTGCCTTGTGTAAAAGAATTTGAGGAGGAGTTTTTGAATTGCAGGATGTGAAATTAGCAGCAGAAAATCATCAAATGTTGCACTAATGTAGATTAATTCCAGACAATATAAATTACACTTTGATAGTCATGTTTTTTTGTTTTTTTTACGTACAAAAATAAAAGAATTTCAATGTTACATAACTGTGACACTGAAACCAGATCCCACCTTCATACTGTTTGAGTTGATTTTAAAGAAGTGTGTAATTGTTTAGCTGTAAGAGCATGTGAACAACTCTCATTAATGTGTAAATAGCACACATTTAATGCATGCTGATGGAAATACGTCATTACTTTATTTTTTAATGTTAATTCCAAGATGGCATTGAGAATGTTTTCATTATATTCTTTTCACTGGACAATAGGCACTTCAAAATATAATAAAAAACTAGCGAAAGCAAATGTGCCACTGCAGTTTGTAGTTAGAGAAAGAGTATTCCTGTGGCGATAGAGAACCAAAGCATAAGGAGGAAGTATCAGTTTTCCCCTTTTTTTTCTCTCTCTCTTTCGTTTTGTTTAAATAGGCGTTGGTGGGTGAAGCATTTCACAAGTTCATCTTATATTGGTGAGCATTATGGGGTTACCCATGTGAGAATTCTCAGCTTGCTCACAAAAAAAGAATCAGTGAATAGAGAGGGGGAGATAAAAAGCTGGGAGCCTGAGAGCCCTACACACTAAAGTTAGCCATTATTAAAACCCTGAAAACACTGCATAGATTAATGGTTTAAGGGGCCCAATCCACGCAGAATGAGTTCTTTAAAAAAGTATGTCCCATTGCTATAACATGAAAGGAAGCCTCTGCAAGGTACCTGCAGCTTTAATTCAGCGTCTGACAGCCCATACAGCACTCCTCTCCCCCACAGCAAAAACATTTTGACAGATCCTGGAAGAGAGGAAATAACCCTTTTGGGTTACACACTTTCTTATCCTTGAAAGAACTTACAGTGTTTTTTTCTGAGAAGTGGAGAAATTAATATAAACTGACATAATCTTGACACTTTTATGCATGCTTGTCCATAATGAAGGAATAGTGCTCACATTCATTTTCTATATTCGTGTAATTCTGTGACATTTGTACTTCGGTCAAATCATTTAACTTTTAGGCTAGATCTTCAATATATGTGTAATAACATTTTGGCATTATGATGTTGTTGACCTATTTCAGACTGTTTTGGAATGCTGTATCATAGTAGGTGGTCTGAGAGCACTTTGAAAATTACCATGATAAAAGCTGAAGAGGTCTCGCAGTATGGTGGAACTCAAGTACTGTTCAATGTATGCCAACTAAAAGTGCTTATCTAGTGAATCATTTAAGTAACCTACTAAAGCAGCTCAAGAAGAGTTCTCTAAAAAGAAAATGATTGGGACTTCTGAGGCTGTAGTGCACTAGAAACAAGCGACATGAGTCACATTTTATTCTCTTTCTTGCCAACAGTTATTTGAGAGGATTTATATATCTGTCCGCTAAATGTGAAGCCACAGTCAGCAGCTGGTTAGCTTAGCTTAGCATAATGAGCAGCACCTTTAAAGTTCACTATTTAGCAGGTTATTATATCTTGTTGTTAAATCTCTACAAAAACGGCAGTGTCAGGCTAGCTGTTCCCCTCTACTTCCAGTCTAAGCTAAGCTAACCGGCTGCTGGCTTAGAAGACAGATGTTGTGTGTGGTGACGAAAGTGAACAACCATATTTCTCAAAATGTTGAAATATTCCTTTTAGGCCAGAGATACTTGCTTTTAACTACGTGTTAGCTTTTGCATAACAGCTGCTTTGCTTAATCTGCATTCATTTGGTCCTTGAGGTGTTTCCAAAATTAACACAACATGGTTAAAAAGCAAGTATATCTCTGTCTTAAAGTCAGTTTTTACTCAGATAAATCAGTAAACCTCCAGCTTAGAACAAGACCAGCACTACATTTTCAGTTATGATCAGATGACAAGCCCCCTGTATTTTATATGATGGGGGAAAAATTTGACTGATTGGACCTTTAATGTCGAGGGAGTAAGAGCTTTTAAGCAGAAAGTGCCTTCCTTGTACACTTACAGTATATAACTGGCTTAAGTACACATTTCCTCCACACAGTTTGTGCTATAGAGCACATTATGACCACAAAATATACGCATAAACAAACCCAGCGGCCAAGTACCCAGCATTCAGAATGTGGTACAGTAAGAGAGCGGTACGTCACAGATGGATGTGTGTTTAGTTTGCATTGAAAACTTCTTAGCTTTGCATAAAACATGCAAACAAGTTCTGAATAAAAATAGAACATAAACAATGGGTCCAACTATTTCAAAATGTACTGGATGTGCAGCACAGAGATAAGTAATTGTAAGCACAAACAGCAGTCATGGGAATACTATTAATGGAAAATGCCACATTATAAACCCCTGAGAGGCCTTTATGTGTAAGTAAATCCATAAAGTTGCTTCCAATTTATATTCATGACTTCACTGAAACACAGATGCTAAATTAAGACTTGCCTTAAAAAAAAACACTTAATGAATAACTTTCTGACTGAAACTTGACAACATGCTTGTTTTTGCAATAGTCTTGTGCAGACAAGCCAAACAAGTTTATTTTAACTAGGATTGTTTTATGTCTGTTAGAAAGTGTGAACAAAGTCCAATCCATTAAATGTTTTACAGGGAGAGATCCTTCCAGAGGTGTAGTTTTGGGTATCTGCAGGGCAGCAGATGGGTCACTAGAGCTTGACTATTTAATCAGGAGGGGGGGCAGCGAGGTGTGGTGCTGGCAGAGAGGGGGGATTATATGGGCTGGTGGTTCAAATATTAATTTCCATCACCTACAGCAGAAATATAAACCCTGGCTGTAATAGTAAGTGGGTATCTACTGGACACAGTTTGCTCTGGCATTTGAGAGGCAGAGACACTAAATCTATCAATGCATAAGTGGAGTTACAGAAAGAAATGTCAGCGGTTGCGGTAGCAGATGAAAATTGCAAAATTTTTCACTTTTATGACTGAAAGAAAGACGTCAACGTTGCATTTTGTCTAAGTTTCCCAACACGCCGCAGCCACAGTTTGAAGTTCCTACTAACTATTAATTTCAACACCACCAATTCTCCTGTTTTCTACACTCCTTCCTCTTTTCTCTGCGGTGGTGGCTACTGATGCCTACATGACTGCTGAACACTCAAAGGGGCCTACTCCTGTACAAAGCTGCTTACAGCCTCTTTTTAGCACAGCCTGGGACAGTAGGGTTTATACGTGAGGGGATTTTCTGCAAGCCAGAACCTCTTTCCCTGCCATAATTAGGCCACCCACATTCACAGTCATGTGCTTCAGATGGTGACTCTGTAAGATTTTGGGACCTTCCACACTAGATACATGTAATGGTTTATGAGAAGAGAACTGTGGACTGGATAAATAACCTGGATCTTAGTTAGGTGCTGTCCTGGCTTTTACAGAGAATATGTTTAATTTCCTGCTTTGTTCTTTGTCTATTTTACACAGAATTTAATCTACCAGTTACAGCTTATCGTATTGAATTAGAAAAACAAAGAAGTTGGGAATATCCCACAGTAGTTTATGTGCTTCAGATATCCTCTGGAGGGCTTGTGTCACACATAGTGTAAAGTGATATCTTTACTTTGTCCTCCTTTGAATGATAATGCTGTGAAAATAACCACGTATAAAAACACATGCTGATAATAATAAATAATAATAAAAAAGCCCCAAAAACCTGGTTACCATTAAGATTGCGTGCAGAAGTTATATAATTTCCATAAGGTGTTTCATGTTGCGTGCAAGAGTTACATTGGGGAGGGAGTGTCCGCCACTAGCGAGAATCTGATTGGTCGGACTGCGTGACGTAATGATTGACCGAAGAAGTAGCCGACCAATCCGCGGCCGAGCTGTTTGTCCGGCCCTCCTTTCGCTGGCCCGCAGAGGCGTCGTTGAAGGGAGCGTTTGTTCAGGACTCGGGGGGGGGGACAACCGTGCCGTTATGTGGACGAAACTGTGTGGTTGTAACATTTTGTACAACTCGGTAAACCTGGATTTAAACGCAAACGGAGGTTTTTGTTGTTAACCGCGCCGGGGCAGGATCGGTTCGGGGTTGCGTTGACTCGATAATACCCGCCGCGACTCGGAAGTTTACCGAAGTGGAAGACTCGTCGGATTCTCGCCTGTGGATCTACACAAACTCGGTATGTTACTGTCCGAGCAATGCTAACTTTAACTAGCACACGTTTTAAGTGATACTTTTAAGAAAGCGTATTGTTAGGTACTTATCTTCTCCTGCTGGTTTCAGTTAAACTTTATGTAGCTTCACTATTCTGCTGCCTCCGACATTACTACCACACTGTGTAGAAATATCAGTGTGGTAGTTTTTAAAAGCATGCAAACTTTTTATTTTCTCTCCCCCAAATGCACAAGTTTGCTGCCAACAAGTTTGTGCAAACGCTAACATGCCAATACGTTTTATATTTAGTTATTTAACAGTGTTGTGAATTTTAAGCTGTCACTGATAAGGATGATGCAGCCACATACTGGATCAACACCACTGAAGTCAACCTATGTTAGTGTGCCAGAAAGTCTTAAATGTATCATCAAAAACAGTAAATTCTGCACTTTTGTGATAGTGTGACAGTTTAGGGCTGCATAATCTAAATATGATCAAAATTGCCATATCCAAGCTACAGAAGCTTTTCTTTTGTTTCAATAAGGTAAAATGTGCTGCACAACAGTATTATAATAAAGTACTGTGGTGCTGAAGATATTCCCTGGTCTACAATTATTGTTCTCCACATACAAAACAACATGTTTGTTTGGTGCACAGCCCAGGAAAAAAAACACATTATCATGATTTTAATAGCTTTTTCCCCAGTTAAATGAAAATTGTGATGCTCATTCCCACACTAATCGTGACTCATATTGCAGTATCTCTCAAAATAATATCTTTTTACCCTATTGTGCAGCCCTGTCCCAGTTAATAAGAATAAGAGAGAGAAATAGTAGTGCTAGGACTATAGACTATCAAATGATTAAAATGTTAAAACATTGCAATTGTGTCTTCTTCAAAGCAAATATAATCCTCCACCAATTTAGCATGTGGTATAGTAGAGTTATAAAGGTAGTATGAAGTAATAATATGCTTTAAAATAAGCGTCAGTCAGTGGTAGATATGTTTTATATGATCTTATGTTGTGAGTTTAGTTCACATCCGAGCGTTGGATGTGATGTACACTGTAATTGTCTTATGCAATGTGTTGCAAATGGCCTCCCTTCTCATCTTACAGGTCTGGATAGCATTCTCAAGATCACAGCTGCAGGTCATTTCTTGATGGGTACATACTGTGAGGCAACACACCAAGAGAACTGGAAATCATTCAGTAAAGACAGGAACTGTGAAAGAATGAAGACGAGCTAGATACTTTTTGGCTGTTTAGTTGGACGTAGACAACCTACAACCATTTGAACTAGCAAATGTGTACCTGGACTAAACACACAAACATAGAAACCTGAAAAGTAACTTTGTTGATTTAAAGATCAACTTAAAAAGAACACCTCGACACACAGCGATCAATATGAGTGCTGAAGGATATCAGTACAGGGCGCTTTATGACTACAAGAAGGAGAGGGAGGAGGACATTGATCTGCATGTGGGGGATATGCTGCTGGTCAGTAAAGGGGCGCTGCTGGGGCTCGGCTGCAGCAGCGGAGCCGAAGAACGACCCTCGGAGATCGGCTGGCTGCCGGGCTTCAATGAGACCACGCAGGTACCACGGCACAGTTCTTCTGCAGTCTGTGCACTGTGTTAAAGGTCCAGTTTAACAGTTAGGAGCATCTATTGTCAGAAATGGAATATAATACTAATAGGTTTTTATTCGTGTTTAATCACCTGAAAATAAGAATCAAAGTGTTTTTGTTTAAGATCCAGTACACGCCGTGATAAAGCTGCTGACTAAAATCCTTCCATCCGGTTCAAATTAGAAGTTAAAAAGCACAAGATCGTGAGAACAGTGGATGGTAACAGTGTGGCGCTTCAGACTGGAGTCAACAGT